AGCTGAAACTAGGATTACCAGAATACCAGATTACCAGGCTGGGAGAACGTTTAAGTGCTATCTGTATAGATAATCACATCACCTGGGTGCGAATTGTCATGAATCAACTGTTGAGCCTCTGATTCTGCAGCACCAGCTGGCCAGTCTCTGCATTCAGGGCTTAAAGGGATGAGAACTCTATGTACTAGAAGCAAAAGTGAGGAGGGGTTAACTTGTGATGAAGGGAGAAGAGAAGAGATAACTAAAGGATAATATGGAAATCTACTCCTTGAAATCTCGACTCCGAACCTACAAGAGCTCTCAACAATGTCACGTGTCGAGCCAAACCCAACCATAAGCTGCCTCGGTAGCAAGAAAAAAAGAGAAAAAGTTCGTTTAGGCGGGGGTAAAATCAAAGTATCTCACCCTGGCAGGAAATCTTCTGTGTAAAACCTAGGCATACTAACTAAAATAACAAGAATGTAAGTCGACGAATACAGAAACTTTATTTGTTGATGACAACAATAATTCTTGACAACACTCCAAAGACTAAATATACTAAAGAACTTATTGAACATATATAAGCAGACCAGTAGAACTAACCAAGCAACTAGTAAATCAATGAATAACAAAATACTGACAACTACTAGCAGACCAACAACCAGGTAGTACAGTTATGCAGTCTGAACCTAATTCGCGCTTTAACCGTGTGCGGTTTGGGCGACAAATTGGGAAGGGCTTCTAGCCTCTGGGACCGCTATAGCTGGAAAGGGAAGCTGTTAACGGAATCAGGCCTTTTATCACCTTCCATGACTCACGTGACCTGCTGGACAATACTGAAGAGTTCCACCGAACCACCTGGCCAGTGCCAGCAGCTATAGGTTGTTAAACAAAAATAATAAACAGGCCAAAAATCTACCTTCTGTCGCCAGCCTGTTACATCTATATAAGTCTGAAGTTGCTCGGAGACTTTGATCCACTCCTCTTCTTTACCGAATTTTACAAGCCTGCACAGATGTATTTTCAGCTTGGGCCATCCAAGACCTTCCTCTTTTCAGTCTGTGTCTCTTAGCTCTACCCAGGGCTTCGTGTAAGAGGTGCTTCTTGTCTGCAGCCACTGTGATATATGACTTTGCTTGCAGAACTTTGAGCATATCTGCAGTAGTAGGCAGTGCAAGTATATATCGCATACATACCCCAGAGGTATCTCTCGTACATCCCAAAATTGTCCATATAGCTTTATTCTGTATGAGTGTCACGTAGCGCAGGTGTCACGTGTCTTTATTAGGGTTTAGGGCTTTCCCTATGAACCAAAAAGACACTCTGAAGTAATTAAAGTGTTTTGATGTTGGCTCTCAATTGTCTAGGCGGTATCCCGCAGCACCAAAGAACATCCAACCTACTTCAGGTGTAAGGCGACTCAAATTATGGCACTACAGAATTCATAAATATTCCTAGGCGCAACTTGGACTGACTTTCCCACTAATTTTAAGCCCCACAGACTAGACAGTAATCATATGGTAGTCAAATTAACACAGTGCAGAATGAATTCCAACAATACAACAGGAATTCTAGACAACTTAAGAACTGTGAAAGATGGACACTAACCACAGAATGTAACATAACTTAACATCATGTAATCAGCGCAACACAGGTAAGAATGTAAGGAAATGAATTCAGCAAGGTAAAATGTAAACTAACTAGGTAAGAAAAGAATTCCCCACTCCAGATGGACTACTGTTTTGTCCCTAGCAGCAGCAAGTATCATAATTGCCAAACTGTGGAATCCTGGGCCTAGGTAACTGGCACTTTGTGTTAGGGTTAACTGCAACTGCTTGTCACCACAACTTATCTGTCCAGGAGGTCCTGTTCATCCGAAGTGCAACATCTTCCCACAGCTGACCTTGAGAAGGCTTGAAGCCTTGTGAATCCCACATTAAACTGATAGCCAATGGAGTCAGAAACCAGACTTGAATACTCATAGGTTAAGTACTATAGAGTTTATAATATAGAATAAATTATTCAAGGAGAAGGTTCCTTGTTATTTTAAAAATGATCTATGTTAAAACATAAAAAGCTCTTGGTAAAAGACATAAGCTGATGAGTATGGGCTGTCATGCGACGATGCGTTCAAGTTTCATTAGCTGACTCTTTGATATGGAAAGCATTCCAAGACCATAATCTATCATCGACAGGATCACATGCATAGTGAACAACACACTTTGTTCCATGTCCATTTCTGCCATAATCTTGAGAACATTAAGTTCTTTTTGGCATTTTACCGCAACTGCCTACACATAATCCCGAAAGAACAGGTTTCTTTCGAAATTGATACCCAGATACCTCATTTTGCTTTCTCTTTTGATGTTACTGTTATTATTTGTGAGGCTTGGAACAATAACTCTTATAACTGTATTGCCCAGCGAGCACAACAAAACAGACGCCTTTTCTGAGTTGATGAACCACTCCAGCACACCAGTCACTTTGTCTACAGTTGCCTGTAGCTCCTGGGCTATCCATTGCCTATTACTCTCCTGTCTATATGCAAGAACATTGTCAGCAAATGTCAATATCTTTCCAACACCTGGTGATTCAAGTTCTGCAATTTTGCTTGCATACACATTAAAGAGCACCTGTAAAATTGCAGAACCCTGGGGTAGTCCTGAGGCGATATTACATGGTTCTGAGGTCCATGTACCCAGGCGAAGGGCAACCATATGTGAATGCAGGACAGCTGCTATCCAGCTCACAAGCCACAGACAAAACCCCTTCTCTATGAGCGCAGATATTAAAATATCATATTTTACTTTGTTGTAGGCATCTTCAATATCAAGTACTGCCACAACCGTCTCCTGGTTGTTCGTCCACCTGGGGACTTGGTCTTATTCCAGAATTTGTTGCGTGCACATCCGTTTTATAGATCAAGCTTAATTTAAAGCAGTCTCTTGGTTCCTTGCTTCCGACTTCAAGGGATGCTCCCAATTAGTCAACTATTGCGACATATTTATTGAAACTCACGTATTCTCCAAGTGAAATTCCTAAGCCATTGAAATAACATCAGGATCAACAGGAATGAAATTAATCAACTTAATTGAAGGTGAATTTGAGACAATTTCCTAGTGGTTGGATTCGAGGATGAAACACATGCCTTTATATAAAACTGCTAGCTCTTCCCCCCCCCCTCCCCCCCCCCCGCCACGCAAATGTATTTTCCATTTAACCTAATCAGACGTCACAAGCCACTGCACACATACAGACCCACGCACACTGATTAATTGACTCCCTTCGCCTTAATCTTTTGAAAGAAAAGACACAGCAGATATCGAGTGTTTGATTTGGGATTCAACCAAATATATATCTTTGAGCGCTCATAAACTTTTATAGGACTTGGGATTCTCGGTGGCGTAGCCGCTAAACTCTCGCACGCTGTCCAAAGTTCTAAGGTTCAAATCCCCATCGATTACATTATGTTTTGTAAAAGCCAGACGAGGGCTTTAAAACACAAAGTAAAAACAAACACAGCAAGACCGCAAATATAAGACGCACTCACACACAGGAGAAGGAGAGAGAGAGAGAGAGAGAGAGAGAGAGAGAGAGTAGAGATAAAGAGAAAGAAATAGAGAGAGAGAGAGGAGAGATACAAAGAAAGAAATAGAAAAAGGAGAGATAAAGAGAAAGAAATAGTGAGAGAGGAGAGACAAAGATTCACCCCGTTTAAAGTAATTGCTGGCTGGCGCTGAATACGTTAATGTAGATTTTCTTGTTAAATTGTTAAACTATGAAACACCACTTAATACTTATCCACAGGAAGAGATATTAACATGTGAATCAAATATTAAAGAGCCAGATTTTGAAAAATTACTGTATGTCATTACACGGCTTAAAAACAATAAAGCAACTGGTGCTGATGGAATCGCAGCTGAACGTATAAAAGAACTTCTATTGAAGTTAATTACCTTGCCCAAACTATGTATGTGAGCCACTTGTAATATAATAATATACAAAGGCAGACCCTTTTGAAATAACATCTGGTTTAAACCAAGGTAATGCTCTGTCCCCACTTCTTTTCAACTTGGCCCTGGAGAAAATTTTAAGGAAATTGAAACGAGAGTACTGTAGGAGAATCTAAAAGAATACTTGGATATGCTGAGGACACTGATATAGTTGGAGAAAATAAACCAAAGACTGTTAAAACACTGACTCTCTTAAAAGAATCAGCTCAGAAAATGGGACGAGTTATCAATCAAGATAAGACAGAATACACGATAATAGCTAGACAGGGAAAGGATATAAACTCTGGCCACATACAAGTCGATAATGTGAAAATCAAACAATCGGAAACATAAGTATTTTCAGCTGCTCCACTGCGCTGAGAGAAGAAATACAATCTGGAATACAATCTAGAAATAAAGTATACTATGCTCTTCAACATCTGTTAGGTCAAAGTGTCTGTCTCGCAACACCAAGATCACAATATTTAAAACGTTAGAAAAACTAGATGTTTTTTATGGTTCTGAAACTTGGAGCACAACTAAAAGAGATGAAGCCTTATTACAGGTTTTCGAAAACAGTCTTACGACGAATCTTTGGACCCATCAAAGACACAAACAGTGGGGAATGGAGAGTGAGAAGCAACAACGAAATTCATTATCTGTTTAAATCACCACTGATCACTGGAATCATGAGAGCTAATAGACTGAAATGGTAAGGGTATATTGAAATAATGTAAAATAACAGAGAAGTAAAAACTGTATACACAAGGGCGCTGAATGGTTGTAGAGACCACGAGGTAGACCAAGAAGACGATGGAGAGATAATATTTTGACAGACCTGCAAACACTTGGTGTTACCAATTGGAAAGAGAAGGCCAACCAGTGAGATGAATGGAAGTGGGTGATATTTGCAGCAATGAACCTCGACGGCTCTGAATGTTGAAGAAAAAGAAGAAATACGCAACAGCCGGTGCCAGGATTCCACGTTAAAGGGCGGTAATTCTGCAGACTGTCGTCAAGGATTCCAACATGGCGGACAAACCTCAACACGGACCTCCCCATGGCATGGAAAAATATGATTTGGGTGGGGCAGATGATCTGGGAGCTCTAAGTGTTGCACAACAGGCAGACCTCAATCAGTTTAAGGTTTGAATCTTAACTTTTTTTTTCGTGTGGTGATCATCTTTATAACGATTGTTTCGCATGTGAAATGTGCTTTAATTTAAATAATGAAATAATGCTCATTGCTCATTTAATAGTTAAGTTTAGTGATCAGAAATGACAGAAATGTGTTGCAGCCTCAGCTCCATAATTTATTTTATTGTTGTAAATTAATTTATGATAGATATCTACTAAAGAAATCGTGATGACCGATATGAACTATAATGTATAATTTTTTACTTTTTTTCCCAGTTTCGTGAGTAAGCATTTTATGATTAATCATTAATAACCACGATTCTTTAGCCCACCTTTAGTGTTAGTACAAGTACAAATACTACAATTATTGTAGTATTGACTTTTGATTCATTCCGGCCGTTAGTTATTTATTGTAACAATAAATAACTAACGGCCGGAATGAATCGAAAGTCAGTTTTTAAGTGTGGTAGCTAATCGTGGTCGGCTCTGTGGCTAAGTCGATGCGAACGCTTCGCTTCGTAATGCCGGGATGCCAGGTTCGATCCCAGCTGCTGGCAATGCGCCTTGCGTTGGTTTCGACAGTGGTATCAAGAAAGCAATGGCAAACTACTGGATGTAAATTGCCTAGAGAAACCACACAACAGCCAGGGGCTGTTAGTGTTAGGGTTGGTTCTGCAACATCCTGTAAAGGATACGCAACTAACTGAGAGCTAATCATGATTTTGATAATCTATCTCTTCTCTTCCTCCAGTTACGTCATTGAAGTATTGTTGGTCGTGGGAGCTGTATATATTTTTTCTTTGAGCCCTTTATAATGGGTTGTATAAGTTGCTCATTCCCTTGAGAAGGCACGAATCAAAACAGAAAGTGAGCTCGACGTGCCTTGCAGACCCCGCGCTGCGACTCAAATTAGCGACCGCGTTCAATTACCGCTTCTTTCGACGCATTACGGAGTGGACTAGAGGGAACACAACAAGTGACATAATTACTGTGTGTTGGCGATAGACAGCGTGCATTGCCCTGCTATGATCATACGGTTTTGGTTAGGGGTAGGGTGTGGGTTAGGGTTAGGGTTTGGGTTGCTACTTTGAGTTTGTGCAAAGACGAGATGCAGCGACACTAACCGTAACCCTAACCCAAACCATAACCCAAACCATAATCGTCTGATCATAACAGGACAGTGCACGCTGTCTATCGCCAACACAGTAATTCTGTCATTTGTTTCGTTTCCTCCTGTCCAGTCTGTAATACTAATAGCACTGTAGCCAGGGGAGAGAACTCCAACTAACCGGCTGTCTACATTTGTCTACCGTCCGTAGTTGAAAGGAGAGCCTAAATTTTATTTCTTCACCATGACCAACCATGGCTCTCTTTAGCAGTCGGTACCAAGGCATTCTCGTCAGATGGACCAACCATCTCATCTGCTACCCTTTAATGAATTGTGACTTGTGTCTGTCCTGATCTTCTTATTATTTCTTCATTTTCGACTTTATATATTTTTTGTTGTTGTTAATATGAAAACAGCAGTCTAATTATTCAAAGCCATGTTTATTGTTTTCCCATCAATTTAAATTATAATTATGTAAACAAAGCCACATATATTTTGTGCAATGTGTTACCTAGTGGTATCTCATTAGCACCTACTACAGATTAGATCAGTGCAGGTCAAGCCATACCACTATAGATAGGGTTGAATGGTACTTGTCTGAAGCAAGTTGAAGAATTTAAATATCTAGAAAGTATATTCTTGGAAGACAGGACAATAGGTTGGGAAATAGAAACAAGATGCTAATGAGCCAGTGCATGTATATGCCAACTGGCACCACTATTAAGACATCTAAACATAAGAATGAGCACCAAGAAACAGATATAAACATCATACTCATACCAGCAGTGTGCTACCAGTGCCAGACTTGGACATTTTCAGAGGCTAACCTACGTAAAATTAACACCTGCGAAATGAGATACCCGAGAAAAGCTACTAACTTAACCATCCAAGACAATGATGAATTGTTGGACTTATTACTCATATGGGGGTTCTAGAGCACCATTTTTTTTTTTTTGGGGGGGGGGGGGGAACAGACCCACTGCAACCTTTTCGACAAGCATGTCATAAAAGGCAAGTAGATAAGGGTTTGCTAAAATCGTATGTGTTGGGTAAAAAGATGCATATATTGCAGCCTAGCTGTAAACCACAAGGTGACAACTGCACTTTTAAAGGTAAATGCAGAAGAAGAGGAGGACCTATCACTAAATATTTTGAATATGTAAGTTCTGAGAAAGTGTTTATTTTGAAACAGATAAAGATGCTTGTCTCTTAATTCTTTCACAGATAAAAACACGCATCAGTAATGAGTCCTACTTGCGAGATCATCCTGAAGTAGAATGTCTAATTGCTGGCTTTCTTGGGTGAGAGAGACCTTTCTTAACATTTGTGTTTGTCTGCAATATAGGCAATATTTCACTCCGAACAATAATTGTTTTCCTTATCTTGATGCTGTAGCAGTAGAGGAGCCGTTTTCAATCATTCCAGCATCTAAAATGAATTGATGTTGGACTCGTGTGTCGGAGACCCAGGTTTTATCCCAAGTGAGGAATGCAGTTTTTTTTCTGTCGGGAGCAAAAATAGAACAGATTCTAACGCGCACAGTTTGTGGCGACTGCACCAGGCATGGTGTAACTGCATCTTTAAAGCGAACTATTGGCAATATGAAGTGCTTGTTAGAGAATTATTAGCTAGTTAAAATATGCAAGTGATAGTGTGGTCACAGTGCACACACAGGGCAGAACATTGGTTGTGTGCAGTTGGTGTAAACTGTTTATATAAACAGATGTTGTTGTGATTATGTCATGTTACTGCGACCAGTTTATTCTCTGATGGTAGTATTAGTAGGAAGTTGTCATTCACAATGGACTTCGTAGCACTCAAGACATGAGAACATGCATCTTTCTTGTGGTAGCATACATTTGGGAGTTATGTAACATTTTACTTGAAAGAAATAATTGTTGAACTATAAGTTACATAAGAATTTTAGAATGTCATAGAAGAAATATAATGACATTCTTCAAGATATGAATATTCTTCTCAAAGTCTATGCCGTGTGGCGTTGGTAGTCATGTCTACCCACAACCTTCTGTCTTGTGTACTTTCAGTCATCTGTGACACACATGATCTCTCATGCCATGATGACAGACTGTCCAGCATCTGTTGTCTCGGTCTCCCTCTGTTTCTCTTTCCCTCCAACTTTCCTACCGTCAGTATGTACTCCAGTTTTCTCCTTCTCATCACATGACCAAAGAATGTAGATGAACATTGTTTAAAAAAAAAAAATAAAAAGTTGGCTTATAAACAGCATATCTCAGAAACTGAAATACTTTGGCCATATTAAATATGACTTATAAAGAACAGTAATGGAAGGTATGGTTCTAGAAAAAGAGGCAGGGAATGATCAACAAAAATGCAAACCCAAGATATTGGAGACCTGTGAGCACTAAAATGCATGGGCCAGAAAAATTGGAGACATGTTTTGTGGAGAAAAGGGCATGGGACTGAGAGAATTCTCCGTGTGCCTTTTCCGAGAGTGACATTCTGCAAAGGACGTGCTAATGATGATGAATGTAAAGCTAGGTTATTTATAAAAGAGCCTATTTGTAATAGGAGTTAATATTTTAACTAATCCAGCTGGGCTGCGTTGGCAGATAACTGCAGTGTGGAATTACGCAACACGATTTAAAGAGTATAACTGTAGTGCATATGTATATGTGTGTGTTATGAATTTGTATAATATGTTTGATGCCACATAAAATGTGTTAGTTAATAACATATTTGTTTGATGTATAATTGCAGTGATGTTCTGACCAAGCGACCAGAGAGTATTCGTGAATTTGCTGCAGGTGAGTTTTGTTTAAGTGTCACATTTATCTGTGTCTTACATATCTCTTTTTACATTTTGGGGGGGAGGAGGATGTAAAAATATTCAGCTTTATTACATCAACGCAAAGTCAGCAAATCTGCTTCAAAAAAGGTAAAGGACTTTTCACATTGTTGGTGTATCTGACATATGATGCTCATATTTTTTTTAATTCATTAAAATTATTAGAAACCAATCAGCGCTCGATAAGTGATAGGCTCAACATCATTCTAGCTGCTTTTATTTCCCACAGTTTTACCTGGGACTCATTGTTGGCTTAGTTAAGCCTGGGAGCCAAGGTATAACTGCATTTAGTTTCTAGGGCTATGTAACTACCCCTACGAAACTGTTGAACACCATCTCTTTGAGTGCCCAGAACTCAGTGAGACAAGAAGAATGCTACTCCCTCCGAGACCAGACAAGTGGAACACCTTGTACGGAGGAAAAGAACAGCTTGTGAAAACATGCAAATTCCACTACATGGCATTGGGCCAAAGGGCGAAAGCTCATGCGCCGCTGGATCGATAACAACAACAACAACAACATTTAGTTTCTTGTAACTAGTACAATAATATGGATTAAAGCTAATTTAAACAGTTGGTATAGACAAATCCTCTGACTGCATCTGATCAGTCCTAAAAGTTGCAACATGTGATGAATGAGACACCCGATATACAGAAGTTAAGAAGACATTCATCTTTAAGTTATGGCGATTTCTTGGGCGAGTCAGAGTCGTACATTACTGACTGTGTGCTTGCAAAATTTAAAAAAAAGTCTCCCCCCCTGCCCCCCCCCCCCCCCAAAAAAAAAAAACTTGTAATATAGATACAATGGGGAAACAGTCGAGCTTATAAAACTTCAAAAGACAAAGAGAAATTTATCGAATTCAAAATAAATTTACCTTGTACTAAACTAAGAAAATGTGAGTCTCAACAAAAAAAAAGTACATTGGTACTGATATACAGATCGGAAAATGAAATGATGCTGCATGTAATGAGATCCACCAACTTCTCCAAAACAATACTACAGGGAAGACAAGAAGAAGTAAAGCAAGATAGACCTAGATACAGAACTTGGCTGACTGTACAGGCTTTAAACATGCAAACATGGAGTCCATTGCCTCTGATCAACAGAGGCAGAGGAAACTCTGTCAGTCAGTCAGCGGCAGCTGGTGATTCAGTGACATGGTGTTACAGGACTGGACTGTTACGATGATATGAATCAGAAATGAAGAACAACTGAAACAATCACTGATACACTGCAAAACTTTGCAGAGCATTCCTAAAATGGTATGACACATTGCGAATTAGAGAGAGCTTAGAATGATGACTAAACCAACGACTGAGGTAAGGATGCTAGTGGGTACAGGTCCTGAAGGTCCCAGACTTTTTCAAAAAATGACCTTGACTCCCAGCCTTGAGTGGGTACTAGGTGAAGTCCTGGGAAGTAAAGGTGGCTAGCAGGATACTGACCACATCAGGCACTGAATGTTGATTGTTCTGTAAAATACAGGTCAAGCCCTATATGCCTTAGGCGTAGAAAAGAGTCCTTTTTTTCAATTCTTTTTTTTTCAATATTTTTTTTAACTTTCTTAGCAGGTGCAGTTTTGCTTTGCTTGAATGTGGATCAAGACAGGAGCAGCAGTCTTCTATGTCTCTGCTGTCTTTCTCTCTTTATCACACTACTTTCTCTGCACATCCCTTCTCTCTCCTTGTCTGCCCCTCTCACCTCCCTAAAACCTTACTTGTATAACTATAGCGATTAAAAAAAAAAAATTTCTGTTAATTTTTCTGCCAGAATACTTCACAAACCCATCTTTACCTGATATATTGGAGAAACAGTTGGCTGGACGTCAGGAAAAGCTAAAGCAAAACCATGTTATCCAAGGTCTATCATAAATCCTGGTTTATCACCATCTTTGGGATCAGTACATGGTGCCAACACTTTCATGTGAATACCGGTAAATTTCTTTAAATTAACATATTTACATGAAACATAGACATAATATATGCTGTATTCAGAAATCCAGTTTTTCAGTAATATGTTTTGTTGTTGTTGCTTTATTTGTTTTTAATACAAAATAAAAACAATTGCTTACTGTTTTAATAAAGGTACTGTCCATTTTATTCGTCACAGAGTGGCATTTTGACTTTTAGTTGTTCAGTGATGAAGCAGTTATATAGTTTTCTTATAATTCAGTCAGGTATCAGCTTCACAGTGAAGATTAGTTGAACACACACACAAGTACTTTTCACAGATGGAATCAATGGAAACTTATTTCTTTAGAAAAGTTATGAATTTCTGAAAAATGTATAAATGAAAAGAGATTTTTCTATTAATAAAATTTTTTCAATTTATGGGCAGTGCCTTGTCACTTTGGCACAGTAAAAGAAACAGTTAACCACCAATGGAGCCACTCAAGCATGCCTAATCAGCTAATCGGGAGTTTAACATGTTTACGGTTATTTTTTTCTTCAACAGAACTATGTGTCCCCTCTTTTCTTACAAGCAGCAGCAAATGTTTACTTACAGTATGAACTAAGGTTTTATATCAGACACAAGCATATTGGTTTATTTATCCTTTAGAAAATGTATTTGTCAATTAAAATTGAACTGTGATGTTAGATGTTTCTTCAATAATTCAGTACTGTAAACCTTACAAAAGTATTGCTAGTCCCTGCACCTTGATTATATGAAGCACATGTTATAATTAGGCATGAGTTTTGTATTGTATATAATAATTTAAATTATATTTATTGCTTGTTTATTTAAAAAAAAAGTAGCATAAAACTGTCTTTACTGTTTATATTTACCAGTGTTTAGGGTTGTGTAAGACATGGAGGTCTTGAGTCTGAGGACTTAGAGCAGGGATGGGCAAACTATGCCCCATGGACTAAATCTGGTCCGACAAGCAATTTGTACTGTCCACAAGGCTGGTGTAAAATTACTATGCAATCGGGCCCTTGAGCTCACAGAATAGCAGAACATAAAAACATGTGTTTGTATACAGACAGAAAAATCAGAATATCAAAAGTGATAACCAGAAACTGATAAAGCCAAATCTTTGATTCAGCTAGTGAAACACATGTTGCGGACTATCTCAGACACTTGGAGACAGCATCTGTTTACTGATTTTTATAATAAAATATAAGGTGAAGGCCATTATTTTTCCCTGAATAGACACATTTAGGACTATATAGAATTGCTACAGTCGGTGAGTGTGTACGGCCAGAGGTGTAGCGAAGAATTATAATCTTAGATTATCCCTAACAATATTCTTTTTCTTCATCACATTCACTGGCTGTAAACTCCAGCGGAAAACTCTGGGTGGTTCATCCACCTCCAGACTTCAGTCTTGTTCCAGAACCTGAGTGCTGCATGCACCTCTGTTTCACAGATCTGGCTTATTTTTATGCAGACTTGTGGTTCCTTGCCTCTCAGGCAGATGTACTCCAACTTCGAATAAAGTCCCCAGTTAGTCAACTCCTGGGACATGCTTGTTGGAGAGTCAGTGGGTCTATTCTTGCTTTCCCCACAATGGGGCTCCAGAACCTACACAGGGTTAAAAATTACTGTATTATAAGGAGATCTGGATGTTATGTTTGTAATGGATTTTTTTTCTATTTTGCCCATGAGCAGGTTGGTAATTCTAAATATAACCCACGGAAAGAAAATGTTGAACCATATGGCTATTGCTGTCACCCAGACTGTGCAGGGTAGGACTGTTGATGTTTTTTGCCCTCATCATCATCAAGTGCCTTGTCAGCTGGCGTAGGTGTTCATGTGTCGCCACAGATCTTGGTCATTGGTGTTGAATCTGACTTTTCATAAATGCTCTGGAAAATAATGTGGTTGTTTCCCGTTACTTTCCATGTCCACATGGTGGTCTTTCACCTCTACCTTTGACAGTAATTTCCAACTGTCAGGACAAATGAGTGCCCTGGTGTGCTCAGCTGCAGAGTTGTCCACTTATTTGCCACACTGTGGTGTGTTGCCCATCCTCTACCGCAGGTGCAGTTGAGATTTTTCCTTCACTGAGTTATAAGACCATAATGGCATTTCTTAAAACTATCTGGTACTTCAGAGGACTGCCCTAGCAGAAAAAACAAACACTATATGTTGTGATATAAACAGGAGATACTATTACAGTCATAATTATTTGCACTAATGTGTGGCTTTCGACCCTAGTTAAAAATTCCCCTAAAATCTTCATTTTAAGGTTTGTCTTAATCTTACCAGTTTATATCTCTTCACCAGTGCTAAAAAAAATTGTATTTTTGTAATAGCAGGAGTTTGAACAAATGAAAAATGTGTTTGCATCTTTCAAATGCAAAGAGTTTGTCTAACCCCCCTGCCTTTTCCCCTTCAAAAGTAATTAACTAGATAATATTTTTGGCACAATGCCAAATCACGAAAATATATCCTTATTTCAAGAAAATATGTCTGAAAATTGTATAGATGCATGAAAAGGTAATAATTGATCTTGCCTTTGGCATATTGTAAAGTGACAAACAACAGCCCTGCAAATATACTTCATTTAACAATATATCAGGGTTAGTATTTTAAAATATCTCAAAATAGAGAACAAGAAAACTGTCCTTTGCACTTGTGTCTTTTATACATATTAACTCTACTTATATTTTACCCATAGTGTTGTTGGCGCACTAATCTTGTTGTCTTTTTATTTTTTTTAAATTATAATTTGTTATATAACCAGGGATTTTGTTGTCCTAGAACATAGGCATCATTTCTTTTCAGCACGACTGTAACAGACACTTTTGTGGCGAGTACTAGCAGCTTTTTTCTATACAAAATGCGCTGGTTATAACAGATTGTATATATGTTTGTATCTAATATAAAACTGCTAAATCAACTAGAAATAAAAATACAGAATTAGATTCCTAATATTTATGCTGTTTAAAATGAAAATACAGCATGTTTAACTTTTGAGACATTCAGAAATCTATTTTGCATAGTTTTAGACTATAGTGGTCAGTATCTGTGGCTTGGGTGTTGCCAACATGCTTCATAATGCTGATGCCGGTTTTTTACCCCAAGCTGTAGACAATTTGGCATCAGACGGCCTTGCATTGGTTTTAACAGGCTGTAACAGTGGAAAACTCGAGAGCTGACCGTTCAAAAGCAGTGGCAAACTACTGAATGGAAATTGCCTAGTGAAATCACATGAAGCCCAGAAAACTGCTGGGGTTGGTTTTATAACATTTAATAATATACACATAACTCACTGCTTCTATATATTTTTCCAATTCTGTTATTTTTAAACATTAATTTGTAGGGGTTTAGTGGCATTAGAACAGAACAGATGGAGGATCTGGACTCCGTTGATGACATTTCCCTCATATCCCACTCACAAAATCAGATGCAAGATAAATTTAACATAATTGATGAGAGATTACACAAATTAAGTCTAAAAATCTCTAGAAGAAAGATTAAATTAATGAGAATAAATGAGGCAAAGAGTAATAAAATTTCTCCAAGTTGTGGAGTCCAAGTTGTGGAGTCGTACACATGTTTAGGCAGTAATGCAGATAAAGATGAGGCTACTGATAGAGAAATTAAAATACAAATATACAAGTTGGGAGTTTTCATAGCACTAGGAAATTTGTGGAAGTCAACAGAAATTACAGATAGTACTAAAATGAAATTGATTAGCTCTGATGTCAAATCATTACTGCCTTTTAGAGCTCTAACGTGGAGAATAACTAAAACAATTATAAATACACTACGAATATTCATTAACTGGTTGCAGAACAGAAGAAATTAAATGGTATGATAGAATCACTAGAAAGTGAAGAGAAGAAAGACATCGGGTGAGGTGCGCACGAAAGCAAAGGATTGGAGGTTTTGGATCTGTGTTCTGTTGAAGAATAAAGGGCAAAAGAACAAAGAAGTGGCTTTAGAAAGCCATGTGTTCATTAGTAATGTACCTGTTTTTAGATACACTTGAACAAGTTTGTACTGTATGATTACACATCTGTATTGACCTTAGGACTAAACATTTTATGAAGCATTGCAGAACTGCATTGCTGAATGCACCTTTCTGCTGATGCTAATTGTTTTAAAAAAAAAAAAGCATTTTGCTGATTTTGTGATCTAGTGGTAATTTTGAGATTTTGTTCCCTCTCTGTGATATAGCGACACTTTTATTTCTGATCTTTTTGTTGTGGGAAAACAACTGATTTGTAGAAAGAAAGAAGAGATTTCCTAAATGTTTATTGTAATGTTTTCTGCTCAGCCTACAATTTGGAGTATATAATCCACATTTGTTAAATCCCTGACAGCACCTTTGAAAGGTTGTGATATTGAATTTATTGTTCACAGCACAAGTAAACATTAAAATATTTATGTTGTTTCATTTTTTTTTTATTTCTGTGTCTGCATTTTGAGCTTGTGAGAAAACCTGGAACAAAAAAAAACTATGGCTGAATGAATGAGTTTCATTATACAAAAAAAATATTTTACACACACACAAAGCCTTAGTGTTTAGAAAGGATTACAGTGAGTGAGATTAATGAACTGCTGTGAAAGCTATAAAAATATCAAGAAAAGATATGATACCGAACGAAAAGTATATTAACAAGCTTCTCAATATAACAACGTTATCATACACGTCATAACGTTTTGTTTGTTTTTGTTATATTGTGAAGCTTGCTAATATACTTTTCGTTCGGTTTTATATCTTTTCTAGAAAGGGTTATAAAACATTTCCATGCTTATGAGGGTCTCTGTGGTGAAGCATTTAGCCTTGTATTCTGAAGGTTTTGAGTTCCATTTTTTTTAATTGGGAATACTGTTCATTTCTGAAGAAGGCTGCTAGAGTGATCATCATCATCATCATCATCATGTAGCAGGTCCTTTGCAGAACTTCGCTCTCATC